AAAAAAATGCTTATTATATATAACAGAATAAACTAAATTAGTGTTTGGTTTTAAATTTTAGCATATCTGCTTAATGTACTATTTATGTCTATTTAAAGCTGACTGATAGCAAGAATAAGAGAACCTCACCCTTTAGGTTTCTAGAATTTGTATTTAGATATGCCTTCACAATACTATAGAGAAATGAATCACATGTTCTAAGACTCAGTAGTACAACTTTTAGAATAAAATATAATGATAAATTATTTATATACAAAGAAATACAAATTACTCCTAACAAATTGATAGTATGAGTAAATATAGATAAATTCTATTTAAACCAGCTTATTTTGTTTTCCTTACATAGCAGATCAAGAGTTCTCAAATCCATTTAAAGTAAATTATCAAAATCCCTAAAACCTCATTAAATGTTTCATATTTCTTATATTCTACATCAAGGTTCCAGATAAGTCCATATATTTTTCCATTATTCTCAGTAGCCTGAATTTCAGAATAGATGTACAGATACTGTTCTAATTGTGTTCACATCAAATTCCAAAAAACAAACATGGACAAAAAGGACCTAATGAATGATTAATTACTTAGGGCTCTGCTAAACTGGTGAATAGGCAGGAAAAGTTAAATCTTCAAGATAAGGGTATGGATGCCTGGAATGAGGAAATGAAAGAGAAACAAAAAGAGAAAATTGAGGAACAGGGGAAAAAAAATGGAATAGGGAGGGAAAACACAAAGAAAATATATTTAGGCTTTAGTTCTTGGTCTAGTATCAATTACTGAGTGACTCTGAGTAATAAAATTCTGTTCTCAGTAATTTAGCATCCTATTTATATTTATAAAATGTGGATAAAGATATCTTTTTAAAGATTTTGTTTATTCATTTGAGAGAGAAAGAGCGAGTAAGAGCGCATAAGCAGGGGGAGTGACAGAGAGGGAGGGAGAAGCAGGCTTCCTGCTGAGCAGGGAGCCTAATGCAGGGCTCCATCCCAGAACCCTGGGATCATGACCTGAGCAGAAGGCAGAAGTTTAACCAACTGAGCCACCCAAGTGCCCCAGGATAAAGACATTTCTTAGGGCTTTCCAGATCTAAAGCAACCAGATCTACTGCAAGCCTCCTGAAGAAAACATTCCTATTTCACAGAAATGAGAATAAACAGAGCACTCTGTAGGTGTACCAATAGTGTCTGCCTTTAATTACTAAGGAGATCTTGGTTCTCAGTGCCTTATGATCATTCCTATCAATAAATTTCTTACTCTTAATTGCACACGTTTTTAAAATACTCCTCCTTTATCTGGCAGCCCTGGTGAAACAGACATACAAACAGTTCCTGTAAATAAGGAGGATGAAAATAAATAAATAGAAGGGAAGGAAGAGAGGGAGGAAGGAAGGAATGGGATGACTCAGAGGGCCAAACCCGAGAACCGCAGAATGAAATGAAGAACCACAGAGAACCAATCCCAGAGGGTAGAACTGGGATCCAATTAAAGAACATTCCCTGCCTTCATGATAAGAGATCCAGACAACTTTCAGCTGGATTTCAGAATCACAGTGGACGAGTGATTGCTGTGTTCCCAGCTCTTAGGAATGGGAGAATCTTTCACAATTATCCTGTCCCTATCCCATGTACACTGTGTGTGAGGAACAATAACTTATCTTTTTAGTTCTTAGTTGTCCAGGTCAAGAGGAACTTGAGCTATGAAGCTTCATTTACATCTGGACCTGATTTTTAATGATGCTCTTCTGTTGAAACATGATCCCATAATGGAATAAATGTTTGGGAGGATGTGGGGTTTTGTGCATGAAGGAGGGGCATTATATGAGAATCCAGAGTGGACTGTGGTATACTGTCACACTGGCAGCTCTCTATAAAAATACTTCCTAGTATTCATCCACTTGTAGAGTATCTCCCCTCATATAGTCACTATTTATTTGGCCATGTGAAAAACTCCCTCTTAAGGCAGCCACGGTACTGTAAAATATATTAGACTAGATTCTTAAATGATGAGACACCATAGACAATGAAACTCTGGAAGAGGAGTGGTCATCTTAGACATTCTAGCTCTGATCAACCTCACAGATGGATTCAGCTGCATTAGTGATCTTTGCTTACCCTAAAACAAAAGAACTACCCAGTTGAGCCCTAAGAAATAATAAAATAGGATGGTTTTAAGCTAGTAAGTTTTGCGTTCTTTTATCTCAGTAACAATAGAAAACTAAAACATACCACTTACCAAAATGCTTAACAGATAAGTAGTTACTCAGAAATATAAATAGCTCAAATAAATTAGGTGTTCTAACAAAACAGACCACAGGAATGATACAGAGGTGCTGTTTTTCCTTCTCCAATTACACACACACACACACACACACACACACACACACATATCTCACATTACATATGTGACCATATACTATTTGAGCTATGATTTTATTCATGTAAGTTCTAATTAACTGGCCATTGAGCTTACATGTAATTCAAATATTTTGTTGTGAAATAAGTTGTTGACAGATGGCAATAGAATCTGATAAAAATTATCAAAAGGAAATAAAGAAGCAATGCAAAACATCAAAAACAGACACTTAAATAAGTATTCTCAAATGGAGACTGGTAGGGCAAGTAGGGGTAGTGCAAGATACCTCTTTCTAAAAATGAGGTCTCTACATCCACTCCAGCTTCCCCTGCATTTGTAAATAGCAACTTGTTGTATTAAATTGGAACCAAGCAGATGCGCGTGTTTTTATTAGTTCTCCATATACTTTATCATGAGTTGATTAGAACCACTACTTTATTTATGGATAAGGAAACTGTGATTTCAAAGCTAATAAGCCATGGATTTAGAAGTCAAGCTTAATTCTTCCAATTTCTGCCATCCACTATAAGGAGATGATGAACATTTATATTGTACCCACTCTTTCATGTTTCTACAATCAAATAAATTTTAAAAAGATAACAAGCCATAAAGATAGATGACTCTACCAGTAGCTCTATACAGTCTGATAATGATTATCATTTGTCCAAAATCATCTTTACCCAACAAATGAAAGAATTTTAAGGCATATAAATAAAAATGAAATTCACAGAGTAAACATATTAAGAAAAAACCTCTAGCCATCAGTAATTGTCACTACCTCTTATTCTATGATTAATGACATAAAATATAAATATTTAATAAAAGCTAATCACACAAGTCCTAAGAATTATTCTTTGCATATTTTAAATTCTTTAGCCATACATTGATCAATGATTGTCCAGCATTGACCTAATTTCAAATGTGGTAAAACTACATGGTTAGCATTGTGTAATGTTTTATCCTCAGCTCTTGTTATCCTCTTTATCCTACTGATTATGCTAATATTTCTTTAGCTTACTTTCCAGTGTATAGAAACATTTTAGAAAGCCCCGTCAAAGAATAATTTCTGACTATTCCATTCTAAATCCTTGTTACGGGTGAATAAAAATTTTAATTCTATCTATATTGGTAAACGTCAATGAAAGATCTTTTAACAATTAAATAGTGGAGGAAAGCTGGTTCATGCTTTATAAAAATTATACTACAGATTCTATGCAAATATTAATATTTTTAAACAACCAAACATAACCATCATTGGAAACTCGAGTAAGTTTCCACATTCAAGAGCCCAAGTGTTTTATAAATAGATAAAACCTTTAAAAATTCACATGTATTTTTCATGATCTTTACGTGCATATGAGTATATTTTTTCTTATTTTTCTTATTTATTATTTAACCTTTTTAAAGAACTTGAATATAGCAGCAACAAAGAAGTCAATAAATTCAATATGGCACTACAGAAAACAAACTTATAAACCACCTACCATTAAAAAGGAAATATCTGTATTGTGTTCCTATTTCTCAAGTCATAATTTTATTTCTATATTTGTGTTTTGATTACAAGTCCTAAATCCAAACACAATTGATGTATAATATCTTTATGTAAAATGTTTTGAACTTCTAAATGTATAAATTTATTTGATTAGTAAGTCCCACAAAATGATTCACATATAAAGAAACAAATCTTCCATCTTGAAAATTATAGGTATTTTATTATCATAACAATGTGAAAGGTATGGTTCTAAACCCAATTAGCATTGTGTTGTGTTAATATTTCCTGACAGATATTACACAATTACTACTATTACAACAACTAAAAAGTAATTTGTTATATGGCAGGAAATTGTACTTACTAGTAGCAAAAGATAGGGGCACCTGGATGGCACAGTCTGTTAAGTGTCCAACTCTCAGTTTCCGCTCAGATAGTGATCTCAGGATCCAGGATGGTAACTGTCTCTCCCTCTTCCTTTGCCCCTCCCTGCCACACATGTGTGTATGAGTGTGTGTGTGTGTGTGTGTGTGTGTGCATGTGCATGCATGCATGCGTTCTCACTCTCTCAAATAAATAAGTCTTTAAAAAAATAGTAGCAAAAGAAAAATTAAGATCTGACACAGTCAGTATTCAATCACCAAACACATAACATCTGCATAAACTATTCCGTATGCTTTTGAAACATATATGTGAATTCCTCACTTATTTAAATATAACTTCATCTTATCTAGATACTATTCAATTACACAATTAAACATGAAAGAAATCATTGTTTTCAAACTATCTTTAAATGACACATTCTCTATAGGTCATCAAACATGAAAGCTGAGCAAATGTCCATTTTGAATCCCTTTTGTTTTTTGTTCCTGCTATTGATGTTGTTTTACTTTAAAAAATTAGGTGATTATAGCCATTCATATGGCTTAACCATTTCCTCAATATGGAGAAACACTTGTCATGGTATACAATTTATTATACATTTTCATATACACTTTCTGGGAGGAAAAAAATAAACTATGTTATAGTCCATAATTTCTTCTACAATCAATTCTGCCAATAATAGCATTTGAAAATGTATTATTTGAAAATAAATGTAAAACAAATTTACCTGTTTAAAATGTCACTTAAATGCATGATAAATTGAGTGTTTCATTCTTACCGTGACAAGAACCTTCGATTTCTTCATATCCTGTACTGCAGATACACCTTCCAAGGGGAACCAGCCAATCTCCATCAGCTCCACAATATAGTTTAGGAGTATCACGCTCTTCTGCACTCTTCACACAAGAGCCCCTTACTTCAACCAAAGAAGAAGAATCAACCCTTGGGATGGTGTCAGGAAACATAGCCAAGTTTCGAACAGTGAAGGGGCACTTTTTGTAGAATACACGGACTGAGACCAGGGCAATGCATGCCCCAATGTCTTGAAAAGCCAGATAAAATCCTTTCCTTTCTATAGGCCCCACCTCACGAATTTCCGTGTTTAGTTTCAGGATACGATCACCCAAATCCATCTGGGTAAAACTTTCATCAGCAGCAATTGTGTCAATCTTTGTATACTGGCTTGGCTTGAATTTAATTCCGTGGGACTCATCTGATTCCACATAATACAGATTAAATGTTTCTTTGCAAGTCCCCAAAACCCATGGGATGCTGTTACAATCCCTCAATGTAAACTTCATTTCCACATAAATTTTCTGAGCTGCATCACGGGAGATCCAGTTCGTACGAAGCCAGTTGTTTTGGTTTGGTTCCATTACATTGCACACCTGGTACGTATGAATGGGCCTATTGTGTTCATCCATTTCAGTGATAGCATCCCACTGCAAAAAGAAAAAAATTGAAATGATTATAAAACCACAGGGGGTTAAACAGATATGATTACTTCCAAAATTTTGTTTGAGCAAAGAAACATAAATAAAAAGGATAGAAATGAAAGTATTCAAAGCAACAATGCAGAAGTATTTTAGCCATAAACCTCTAGTTAAGAGTATAGGTTCTGGACATACCATCTGCCCTGGTGTGAACCATGCTTTCCTAAATATTAGTTGTATGACCAAGGGCTACTTACTTTCACCTCTTGTTTCCTTAATTGTAAAATGGAGCTGATAATAGTACATGTTTCATAGGGTTGTTGTCAGGCATAATTTACTTAATATACGTAAAGCAAATAAATAGTTCCTGGTATACTGTATGAAGTAAAATGACACCCACTATATGATTAAAGAAATAGACTGATGACACACATACGGTGGTTACCCACCTGCCTCCATATCCAATTTGCCACAAAGTGACATATATTTAGCAGTATTCAATTAAATATTTGCATGTCTATCTGACATGCCATAGATTTATTCAAGAAATACTTATGAGACACTATTCTGGACACCAGGAATATAGCAGCAAACCAGCTGAACCCTACTTTTTGGGAGCTTACTTCAAGTGAGGAGAGACGATAAAACCTGTAAATAAGTCAGCTGAAAAATATGCTTGGAAGTACAATGGGGAAAATTAAGGCAAGGAGATGGAGAAGAGGGTTGACATTTTAAATCAGGTGGCCAGAAAACGCCTTACTGAGGTGGTGACGTTCAAGTGATGTCTTGGAGGTAAGAGTGAACCTTGCCAAGAGGAAATAGTAAGTACAAATACCCTTAGTTAGGAGTATACAGATGTATCTTAGGAACAGTATGAATGGGCACTAGACACACACTACCTAACAGGACAGAAAAGAGAAAGAACAAAAATAGAGCCTTTATAAGCTTTTTAAGCACTTTAGCTTTCACTCTGAAGGCATCACTGCATTATCTTCACTTCTACATGTGGACTTTGAGCATTCTGCCATTTATTTGCATAGAAAAACTGTTTATCCTTTTTTACAAATTTAATAAAAATCCCAAGAATCTTGATATAAACTGGTATTGTTCGTATTTACACATCTAAATATTAATTACAAATTACAAATTGAGAATGTTATTGTATTTTATTTGTTTAGTAACAGTGATAATTTTCAATAGATTTAAAAAAAAAAGTCTGGTAATTTTATAACCTTTTTGAGAAAACATGCCAGTCATCATAGTTTCTCATTTCTATTTAAGTATCCTGGAAACAATAAACTATTTTCTATAGTGATTAAGTACTTTATTTCTTAATATCATACTTCAGTGATTTATAATAAGATTATTTAACACACCCTGTTTGCAGTTTCTTACCTTAATTGGCTATAGAGAGTCACTTAATCAAGACTAGTTGAATTTCAATTAGCAGTTTCCAATAGAATAGCTACTTTCTTCAGTCTATAGGACAGTAACGATGCTAACCACTTTCCGTATCTACTGTACAATTCTACAAAGAAATAATTTATCTTATCATGCAATCTTAAAAATAATCTGCATCTAAAAATTTTGTTTATAAGCTTCTAACTTGAACTTAATAGTATATTTTCCAGGAGAAACAGTAAGTTCCTTTGGAACTGTGGATATAATTTTGCAAAACACCCTTGATAAACATAAGAGTTATCCAATAATCTCATAAAGATACATGCAATTATCCATCTTAATGTTTTTCATCCTAGTGATCATAGGTCTTATCTGACTTTTACATTTAAGTTTAAGGCAAACCAACACTATCATATCTCATTTTAAAGGCAAACTAACCATTCAGAATATAAGCAGTGAAACAAGATGCAAATAATAAAATCTATAAACTAATGAAATCAGTATCCAAAATTATAAGGATTTCACCCATTGGAGAAACTCTGAGGTACTTAACCAAGGATTATTCTAATTTTGGAAAATTTTCTAATCAGAAGTGATTTTGTTTCTCAGGAAATGCATATAATTAATTATGGTCTACTCTCCCACATAGAAGTATGGAACTATATTCTCAATAAATTTTATTTGAATAATTATATTTTGACACCTTCACAGTACACCCCTTCATATTAATAAAAAATATTAACCATGCTCATTACAACCAATTCTCCCAAAATATGAGATTTAACTAAAATGTCAAAAATTGCCTCTTGTGACAAAAAAAATTCTGCTCATTTCGTATCTTTTTTAAAAAATGTGTGTGTTTGGGGGAAAATGTTTTTGATGGAAAGAAAGGTCAGAAATGTGAATAATATAACATACATTCACTGAATAAAAAGTTATCTGAACCAAGGGATGAAGAAATGACAAAAGATACACAGAGAATGAGAAATGTGGTTCTTCTCAAAGACACTCCATAAAGATTCTTAATAAAATGGTGCATCATTTTCTTGGTTAAATTTGTGATACTCAATGGTCAGTAGCATTTCTTCTCTCTTTAATTAAAAAAAAAAAGTCAGAATTATTTGGTTACCAAAATAGATAAAAGAGATCAAATGTTAAAGTTCATCTTATCCAAAAATATGGAAAGCAACTAAAATTAGATTTTAAAATTGAATTTGACTAATCAAAAAAGAATATCAATTCAATATTGGTATAAGATCTAAAAGACTATGAATTTTACAAAAATATTAAAATAAGCAGATGCAGAGATAGTATTATATTGTAATCATAATATAGCCTTCAGAAATATTGCATATACACAGTTATATTTTCATTTACACAGTTCCATAAACTTTTTGCTATAATTTTTAAGTATTAAAATAAATAAGGCCTCTTAAATTGTGGCGTACTCCATAAGAATGGGAATATGAGGGCTCACAGATCAGATGTCTAAATATGTTAAAATGATAAGACATTCTTTAAATCAGATCAAATTCTAAGTATGTTCTCTTTGTCTACATTGCAAAGATACCTTCATAAAACCATGGAAGGTCAGGTTCAAATTTAAAACACTTGGCCTTTAGGGGTCCCTGGGTGGCTCAGTGGGTTAAAGCCTCTGCCTTCAGCTCAGGTCATGATCTCAGGTCCTGGGATCAAGCCCTGCATCGAGCATGCTTACCCCTCTCTCTCTGCCTGCCTCTCTGCCTACTTGTGATCTCTGTCAAATAAATAAATAAAATCTTAAAAACAAAACAAAACAAAAACACTTGGCCTTTGAAAAAACTAACTTTTGGTACTACATCAAAATAAAAAGCTTCTGCACAGAAACAACCAACAGAAATAAAAGACAACTTACTGAACAGGAGAAATCATTTGCAAATGACCTATCTGATAAAGGGTTAGTATCCAAAATATATTTAAGAAATATATGCATCTCAACACCAAAAAAAACCCAAATAATCCAAATAAGCAGAAGACTTGACCAGACATTTCTCTGAAGAAGACATACAAATGACTAACAGACACATGAAAAGATGTTCAACATCACTTGTCATTGGAGAGATACAAATGAAATATCATCTCACACCTGTCAGAATGGCTAAAATAAAAAACACAAAAACAACAAGTGTTGGTGAGGATGAAGAGAAAGGGGAACATTTTTGTACTGTTGGTGGGAATGCAAACTGGTGCAGCCACTGTGGAAAACAGTATGGAGGTTCCTCAAAAAATTAAAGAGAACTACCCTACGATCCAGTAATTTCACTACTGGGAATTCACCCAAAGAACATGCAAACACTAATTTGAAGAGATATATATACCCCTATGTTTATTGCAACATTATTTACAATAGTCAAACTAAAGAAGCAACCCGTGTCTCTCAATAGCTAAATGGATATAGATATGGTATATACATACAATGCAATATTATTCAGCCTTAAGAAAGAATGAAATCTTTCCATTTGCAACAACATGAACGGAGTTAGAGAGTATAATGCTAAATGAAACAAGCCAGTCGGAGAAAGACGAATACCATATGATTCTACTTATATGTGGAATCTAAGAAACAAAACAAATGAACAAAGAGCAGGGGAAAGGGGAAGAAAGCCAACTTAAAAACAGACTCTTCACTATAGAGAACAAACTGATGGTTACTAGAAGGGAGGTGAGTAGGGGGTTGGGTGAAATAAGTGAAGGGAAGTAAGAGTACTCAATCTTGATGAGCACTGAGTAATGTATGGAACTGTGGAATTACTATATTGAATACCTAAAATTAATGTAATACTGTATGTTATCTATACTGGAATTAAAATTTAAAAATTTTAAATGTAAGATTTAAAAAATCAAATAAATTACTTGTCCTTTGAGTTTTATGTTAGCGTGTGTAGCTCATAAAGAGACAGCCCTTAACCTTAGTCCCACTTCTATTTCCTTCCCTGATTCTAGCTCTATCCCATGTCATGAAAGGCTTAACAGATGCACATATATGAGCATCCCAGCCCTAATGTCAAGCTGTGCCCTTCCCTGCCACAAAAAGCTGCCAATTTTGGCCCTTCCATCAACCTAGGTTGAACATACCAGGGGCACAGTACAACCACTGGAGGACGGAGCCAAATAAGTGATGAAGTTCTTTAAAGAGTTTAGATCTACACTTTCCTTCTGTGCAACACTGTGGGTCAGACCCCAGAATTTCTTGGTCAGATGGCTTTAAGTTTTCTTTTAAGGAGAAGAATGAATACCAATTAATATGTAAGACTAGTCTATATGCACACACTTTTTAGCAACTATAACCCTGCACCACCTATGTTCAATGGGTAGAAGTTTTCGCCCCTATGTAAAACAAACACATAATTATACTGTAACTGTGAAGTACTTAGATGTACATATTCCCCAGCTACTGCAGAAACAAGATGAAAATCTGTATCAAACCTGTTATTAATTCTGTTATTAAGTCAGTCAACTCTGTCAGCTGCTTGCTTTTACCTAATAGGTACTGAACCCAAAATACTCTGACTCCTTAATTTCATGCTTTTTAAAATACTTTTATATAGGACTTAAAATACCAACATAAA